TCAGAGAATAGTGAAAAATAGTCACGGTTCAAAGCAACATCTTGTAATATCTTCTGTATGAGTCCTCAAATATGTCCTGACCTGAAAACTGTTAATTTTCTAATAACGTGAAAACGATTAAAGAAGATAAAATCTGAGGATATTCAACAGTTTGTGCTTGAAAAATGTCAATTCATGAATCCACTGACCTTTGCAACTCCACTACACTTTGACGACTTCATACACAAGGCCTGTTCATGTGTGTGCGTAACATGTGTTGTGTCAGCTTTCTCCATTTGATCAAAAGTTGTCCGACACGTCTCAGGTTATGACCCATCCTGGACGTCGGGGGGGGGGGGGACGTTTTAAGAGCGTGCACACTTGAAAGTTTAACATTAGCGTCAGAGAGCTTCTCACGTCCGTCACCGATACTTGTCACTCTATTAACAAACTATCCCGACTGTTGTTCAGGACGTTTCAGCGATGACGCCCCGTGTGACTACCACTCATTCAGCCATTGTCATTCAAAGTGGCTCCGTGTTAATTCGGCAATCGTCGCCCATTGTGAGCCGTAAGAAAGGTCAGATAGCAAGAGAGAGAGAGAGAGGCCACGGCTGCTGGATGTGACAGCCGCCCTCAGTTTGATAATGCAGCAGGTAAATATGTAGTTTGTAAAAAAAAAAAAAAAAGAGGAAACACGTGATGACAATGGCTTCACAAAGAGAATTGAGTGTATTGGAGGAGGAGGACTCAGCTCATGCATGTCACTGTGTGTCCCTGGACTCAGTGTGCAGATGCCAAGATAACACGCTGCTCCCTTTCCCCGTCTCATCAGTTGAAATGTGTCTGTGTCACCGTGTGTCTTCTGCCCTGGAGGCTTTCTGCAGCGTTTGTCAGCTATTTCCCCGAGCGCTGAGCCCGAGCCTGTTATGAAACAACACAATCTACCTACAGTATCTTGTCTATTGCATAACAAACTCCTCCGCTCCCCCGAGGCACTGCCAGCGGCCTCTCTGCTTTCTTTACAACGAGGAGTGAAACTGTAACTGCATGTCAGTTCATCTACGTTTAATTTTATTAAATCTGTTGTGACTTTGGTCGTCAGGAGCTCAGGACGGTTTCTTTTGTCCAACTCAACATCATAATCTCAAAAGTGTTTATTTGTATTTATTCATTTAAGATCATTGAACAAAGTCAGCTGGAGAATAATCATTTAAATCAGGTAGAATCTGATCTACAGCTGCAACTATTTTCACTATCCATTGATCTGATGATTGCTTTCCCAATTAATCTGATTGATTATTGGACTGTGAAGTGTCTGAAAGTGGAGTTTCATGTTTCCTCTGTTTGTTTGAATAAAAGAAAAATATAATCAGAGCAGTCAGTAATTCATGAATTAGTTTTTCTAATAATTGTTTTACCTGTATTTTTTTAAAGGAATTGCTGCGTGAAAGTATCAAAAATACAAATTTTGAAATCATTGTCAAATATTTTCAGGAGTTTCATCAATGATAGCAAAATTATAAACCTGTTTTTTCTATTAAACCGCACTTTAGTTTGAAAATGCCACATTTATCAAGATGCCACGTCTCGTCTACACAAAAACAATAATACAACAATCTGGAATGAATCTTTAAAGATGATGAGGAAATAAACCATTTGTTCAGAGAACTCGTTAACAACATAACAGGCCCGATCACAAAGTACCAGCTCTTCAGCACTGAAGAAATGCTTCGGCACTTATCTCATCATTAAGGTGTTTTCTCTGATGTGTTGGGTGAAAGGCATTATGGGAGGCTTGCGCACAAACTCCCCGGGAAAACCAGAACCATCCCGCTGAAAACTGTGAGCACTTCTTCATCTCTGGATCAAATCATCGGTTGTTGAGGTGTTGTGTTCACGGTGCTATAGCAACTGACGGACGTGTGCGTTACATAAAAAAAAAAAAGCGCCAACGGAGCAGGAGCAAGGATCAATGTACTGAACGCTTTTACTGGAAATCACAAGATCCCAGACGGCTGCATTATCTTTACGAGAGTACCTACTGTAAAAGTCTCAGTTTCTCTTCACGGTGAAAGTGATTGTGTGATCGCTCTGATTCAGCCACAGAAATGCCGCTGGGTCGTGTGTGTGTCACCCCGATGTGTGAAGTTTTGGTTTTGATGTCACGTCGCACTGGAAAAACCGTCGACTGAAAACATCCTGAGCTGCGGCCCTGGGGATAAATGCCGTCGACTTAACAAACCAGTCAAATTAGTCACGGCTACTCCAGCACGAGCAGGAGGGAAGTCGTGACGCTGAAAGGTTCAGGGTTGTGTTTCACTTTAGTCGAGTTGTGTAACTGCAGTTGGTGACAGTAACCCTGCAGCCCTGCACGGATGTGGGACACCTATTTATTCTTCAATATCCTCGTTTATTCACTGAGCCAGGTCAGATAAAAAGTTGAAGTCAGTGTGATCTGATACAGTCAGGTTGTAAAAAAACTGAGTTATTTGCTGATGGTGCAATAAGGACGGGGCACAGACGGGCAGCGATGCTTTATGGGAACTATCAGCAGGGTTGGAATGCGCTTTTAAACCAATCGGGAGCGCTCGGCCCAGGCTCCCCCGTCGTAAAATAATCAATCCGGAGCATCAAAGCTCGCTGCGGCCAATCACAAGGCTGCCAAGAGACTATAAATTATAACATGCATGCGATAATAGACTCGAAACACCCACGTTCAAACAAAAGAGTTATTCTGCCAGAGAACAAGGGCTCGGCTGGCACAAGCCACCGCGATGCCGAGCCACGAGTCCGGTCACCAGGCGAATATCTCAACGACTCTGAGCGAAGCCCTCGGTTCCATAAAAAGCAGGCACGCATGCATTTTGATGGCGAGCGCCAAAGCTGCTGCCATGGAAACTCAGAGACGGATCTCTGCGCCCACAAGAGTTTTACTGCTGCAAACAGCTTTTATGAAATATGACGCGGACTCAGAGCAGATCACTGTTAAAGATTAAATAAACCCTCAAGGAGCTTTGGTTCAAGCCTGAAATTCAAATTATTTACAGATGAGTTTCACCTGGAAATGATGAAAATACTGATCTTATATTTCTCACACAGGTTTACATCCTTTTAGCTCGGATGGAATAATGAGAAGTTTGACAAAGGATCAGAGAATCATCTGAATTCCACACATTCTTTGTCAACACCTGGTAACTACATTACCCACAGTGCAACTGGTCTGGCCACAGGTCACTCAGATGTGGGGGACATTCGACACGACTGCCACCGAGTTTTTTCAGGTGCACAGGGAGACTCTTTGTGTTTTTTCCACTGTTACTAATACTACTACTACAAAATATAATAATAATAAACAGTACAATGACAAAGGGGTATTTCTTGTCTCATGATATTTATTTAAGTGTATTTGGTGAAAAGTGGAGCAGGAATGTTGTCGGTGTCGTAAGTTGCTCAGAGTCTTTTGATTTGCAGCTGATTTAACTTACAGTAATAGTTTAGTACTTACTTTCTGAATGTTTGTGTATTTTTACAGGATTGTGTTGCATGTTTTACTCAAATAAAGGATCTGAAAACTTCTCCTGCTGATGTTTTGTTACAGCTGCTGTACAAACTGTGTCCTGCCTGTGTCGTCGGCATCATCTCAAGCAGCACATCATTGCCCCCCTGAGGACGGCACGAGAGTTCACCCTCTGCACGTTCACAGTCAAATGAACTGACGGGGCGTTACCTGCAGTGCAGACACACCTCGGAGCTTTTGCACAATCGCTTAATGCCACACGGTAAATTAAACACAACACAGGAGGTTATGAGATTATGACGACAACTCAGTAAAGTCTGAGCGTTTTAACTTCAGTGACTTCCAGCAAGTCTTCACCCGTTTCCCTGTCCACAGCAGCAACTTAAAGACCAGTGTGTTCACAGTGTTCGCACGTATCACCTGTCAACGGCTCTATTTACTTCCTGAGTGTTTAATGACTTGTTTAAATGAAACTGCTTTGTCTGAAAATGAAAAGTCAGCTGCAAAAATAAAAACCACTATTTGCTATGTATTATTTAGTGACAGAAACAAAGACACTAATGCCTTTGACTAATGGGTTTGACTCCTCCCGTACATGTGCACACTCGTGCTGTTCAATGACAACATTATGATGCAACCGTGACACATCTGGGATCAACACACGCCAGTCACGATACAACAAGCAAACTAGAATGTCGTACGTTGAATCAAGCTGCATCAAGTTTCACACACACACGTCAGATATCAGTTCCTCAATCTACGACTTCTTGAGTCATTCTTCCACCAAGTTCCATGAAAATCTGTTTTTTTAATCCTGCTGACAAACAAACAATCCACAAGGAAAACCAAACGTGATCTGGTTCCAACAACAATCCCACAGATTCACTCTCATCCTGATCTGCAGCCCCCTGGTGCACGAACGCTGTCACTACTTGTTTCACCAACTTGTATTAATACGCTACCGCACGAACCTGGTGACTGTCTGCCTCATTTCCAGCCGAGTGCATCGGGATCCTGCCTCCGTCAGCCACTCAGCACCTCGCACCAGGAACAAAACAGCCACTTCCTGCAGCGACAGGAAGTGGCTGCAGTGGCACAGAGTGTTCCTGAGTGAGCTCATCTCATCACATGAGATTTCAAGCGTTCATTTGGCAGCAGCGAGCAGGCTGGCATGTACGTACACAAGCGTGCAGACAAAAGAGACACGGCGCAGCTGGAGCCGGAGCGGAAATTCAGAAAAATACGTTCCCAGGTTTGCACCGTTAATAGCAGATAATGAGGTCATGATGGGATTACCCTGAGATACTTCCCCTAGCCCCAAGGCATCATGGGATTGCAGGAAGAGGAGGTGAAGTTATGGAAAATAGTGAAGGGTGTGGCAAAACAGAACGAGTCACAGGGTGTGTCGGTGTGTGGTTTGCAGGAGGGGTGGTGTGTTTCACTTTGATGAGTCGGAGACATTTTTAGTATGACGATCCCGCTCCGCCAGATGTTCACTCACCAGCAGATCTATGCTCTCTTTGCGTCCCAGGGATCCATGCTCCACCCGCTCGCTGCCCGGGGTGAGGATGTAGGGGCTCTGACCCCCGGAGGGCTTCATGTTGGGCAGGCTGAGAGACCTCATGTCCTTCACACCCTGTTCCACCTTCAGCTCATCACCTGGCCGCGCTGAACGGAGACAAAATAACAGAGACTGAACCGTCTGAGAGGGAATCCTTTAAAAACTGAGTTTGTTTTTTTTATTGCAGACAAAGACAAAATGTCCAGATGTTTGCTGTTCGCTCTTTAACATCAAAACACATCCAGCAGACATGAAGCAGCGTGATTATTTATGTGTAAGCAGCTTCCTGCTCCGACAACAATAACAGTCGGAGTGAAACAAAGAAAGTTATAAGTTATAAACAATGAGAAACCTTCGACATTACATCACCAAAATCTACTCAGTTCTTCCATGAGTCCAAGTGAACGTTTGTGCAAAAACGGAAGAAAATCCTGTCGAGGTGTTGCAGAGATGTTGCGTTCACAAGACCACAGAGGTGATCCGTCACAGTAGATCGTGATCTTGGACCTTTCACCGCCAGATTCTACTTAATCAGCTCATCTGTTCATCCAAGTGAACACTCGTATCAAAACAGGAAGAAATTCCTTCATCGAGTCTTCAAGACGACGAACAGCTTTTTGTAACCGAGAGAAGCTGCAGAGCATTTGATCCATTGTTAATTATAGAAGAGCGATTAAATCTGATTTAATATGTGTTGAAGCTTCGGGGGGGGGGGGGGGAGCATGGAACAAAACAGAGCAAAACAACAGAGACGTCACGTGACTGAACAGCTGTGAACTGTTCGCCCTCGACCTCAGTGATTCAGTGTGTAGCTCCAGACTGTGGTGAGGAGGTGTGAGTCGGGAGGGTGACCGTTTCTAAAGAAAAGCGTTTAGTCATGGCTCTGGATCTCTGGGGAGGTGGCGCCGTTCAAAGAGTTAACGACTGCGTTGTTAGGATTCGTGGAGGATTTGAGGATGTCGATCATTTTCACTTTCAGGGATGCAGTCCGCTCGTCGTTCCTCCTCGTCAGAAACACCAGACCGAGAGGAAACAGGTCCGACTCAGTGGTTGTGATAATAAAACTTGTTGTTTTCAGTTTAATATTTATTTAATGTGCACGTCGTTGATCTTTTGAGTAACGAGCTACTGTGAAGTCATTTCGTAATTAATCTTCTGCATATTTCAGCTGCCGTTCCTCAAGCGTCTCCTGGATCAGACGTTCATCTCTTTGGGTCTGGCTACGTTCTCCTCCTGGGTGTGTGTCCAATAAAACTATTCTCTGATGTTCAACTTCACACACATTTCTTTTCCTGCCGCATCACTCGGCCTGCGGTGATAAATCAGGTGCAGTGGGCTCTGTGGCTCTCCAGTGCAGATTCTTCAATATGTTGAGATCCATCCACATCTATAACCTGGATTTATTTGAGGGTCACTGGAGCCAGTTGGACAGAAGCTGGATGATATGAACCGTTCACACTCACACCTACGGTCAATTTAGTGTTTCCAGTTCATTTAAACTCGATCATGAGGAGAACATGCAAACTCTGCACAGAAAGAACCAGGATTCAAACCTGTGTGCCAACCACTACACCACTACGCCACTACTCCAACAAGCAAATGCTATAAAATAAAAATTGCATGAGCCGAAACATTTTCTCTTATTGTAAAACCTTTTGCAAATAACGACTTGTAAAAAGCTGTAAATGGAATTGACTCCGTCTCCTCTGGCTGAAGTGTTTGTACCTTTGACTTTGAGGTAGTGTCCTCCGAAGCGGTAAGCCTCGAAGTTGAGGGACAGAGGCGTGTTGGACTGATCCAGGAAGAGGTCGACCCGGGACAGCTCGATGCCGTTCCTCTCGAACACCGGCCCTAAAACCTCTCTGGCAACGCAAAGGAGGAGAGGAAAGCACATGAGGTCAGAACAGGAGCTGGTACTTATGGTTCTTGTTAAATCTTAGAACTGTCTTCAGACATGGACGGGAAACATTTTTCTTTGCGTCCACCGCGTGTTACAGACGTCATGAGTCGCTCGCTGTGAACTCTGCGAACATTTTCCTGTCGTATTCTCACAGTTTCCGAAAAATGTTTTTCGGGGGGAGCCAACAGCAAAAGTTCCAGAAAGTGACTTCGACATTTCTGACTCACTTGCACCCCCTCCGAAAAAAACCCGTCTGGCGCTCGGTACATGTCTGAAAGCAGCTCATCACTAACTAGTTCCTGAGGCCGTTGCTCTGTCTCCTCTCACCTCAGCGTTTTCTTTTTCATCGCAGGTACGATTTCTGTGTTTATGTCCACGTTGAGATCAAACTTGAGGCTGAAGCACTCCTTGCTGGGGTCCTGCGGAGGGGAGGGGTAGACATACTGTTAGTTTAGCTGCAGCTCTGTCGGCCCCCCCCCGAGCTCCTGCTGTATGTGAGCTCTCGGCAGATCCACAGGGGGGCTCCTTCTGACTGCACGGCCCGGCTCAGACAAAGAGCAGCCTGGGAGATACCAGCGTTACATCATCGCTGCAGAGGATAATGGTGGCTGCTGTCATATTGCACAACCCCTCCGATTGTCTCAAATATTTGTGGAAAAGAACAAAGAACCGAGTGACTCTTCGATGATAAATGGACCCCCTTTCCACAGAAATCTAATTAAGTCTTCTGAGGAACAAGTGTGGCTTCTGGTGAGGGAATTAATCTGTGTAATAGCTTACGTCTGTGTGTCGTCTCCGTGGCTTCTTTTTCACCAGCTTCAGCCCCCCTGTTTTCCGCTCCCTGCAAAACAGTCACACACACATTATCACTCCAGCGCTATCTTCTGCGAGAGGCACAAGCGGTTCAACTGACAGGCATCAGAAACACACGATTTGAGGGGTTACTGACCCGCGGTCATTGCTCCCCTCGTCCTCTTCCTCCAGGTCGGAGGGGGGGCTGGTGCGTGGGGGACAAGAGCGCGTGGACACGTTCCGAGCCAGGATGGAGGCTAAAGGTTAAGAAAACACAACAGTCACTCCTTCGGTCGGACAACACCGACGGTAACACTTGATAATCGAGGTTACAACAGAGTCAGGGTTGTTTGTTGTGTTCACATTATTTTCACAAAGTTCAGGATCAGAGTCCATCACTGACGTACTGGTGTCGACGTTTGTTGAAGTGAAAACGTGCATTTCTGTTCTTGTTTTAAATTGTATTTTATAAAACTTCTATATATTCTTTTTATTTATAGTCACCTACAATAAAGTTTATGGTTTAACTGTAAAATATAAAGCCTCAATTACATTTGTATGTGATAAGGTTTTAATAACAACATATTAAGAATCACTGGAAATGTTCTTTAAACCTATATATGGGCTGATGTACTGGTATCACAAAGTTTTTACTCTCTATAATATCGATATCAGAATCCGTCCCCAAAACTCGGAGTCAAGTCCATAAATAGGAAAAAAGATTCCTAATCAGTTTCTCTTTTACTGAGGAAATCTGTTGAAGACAGGCATATTCAATTTAAATTTAATTAAGTTGCCTTAGTTAAGTAAACACCTGATCCTTTTTCTTCGCTCTTCATTATTATTCAATCACTGGGACGATGTGTCACGGTGTCATTTGAAAGCTCTGAACACACACAAACACGTTTTATTCACCGTGTCATGAACAAACCAAAGTCTTTGTGAGATGAGACCTTCAGAAAAGAGTTTCCCGTGAAAAATCGTCATAGTGAGATCTGTAGATAAACCAGGGCTCTGTTTTCTTGGAGAGACATTTTGCTGTTGATTTTTTTTTTTAGTGCTTTGAAATTTAACAAGCGTAATTGAATTTAGCTCCACTGAGCTGGGGCGGAGGCAGAAACGATGACGAGGTGATGGATATCTGAAAGCTTCTCTAATCTCAGAAACATCTCGAACACTATCTCCCAGTGAAAACGTGGCGTCACACTCGTAGAAGACGCCGACGAAGACGTCAAGATATAATAAGAGCCGATGACGGCGTCTGTGTGTTGTTAAGAAGATCACGTGATCTCGTCAGCAGGAGTATTATCGCCTGAATAACGCAGAGGACTTGTTGCTGCTTTGTGCATGTGTGAAAGTCGAATCCGGAGAATTGGGTCTGGACTTCACCCGCAGGTAAAAGTCAAACTTTGAATTTCCATCAGACATAAGGGAGATGAGTGTTTGTCTTATTTAGACGCCGATAAAAACTCCTGATATTTACACAGTGAGTGTAACGTAATGAGGCAGCGGTGGGGATGACATCACTGTCAGAGGAGCAACACCAAATACAGACAAGACGAGCGTCTACCTTGAGGTTGTAAGTCAAATCGTGGGTGTCGGTCAAAGTGCATGTTGTCTGTGTTCTCCGAGTGGTAGCGTGAGTCACATGACTCGCACAGATGAAGGGGGCTTTTGCTGTTCAGGTCTTGGCAGTCTGGGTGGTGGCAAACCTAGAGGACAAACACAGGAGGGGGGGAGAGGCGGGGGGGGGGACAAGGGAGAAAGTCAGATCAACATAACTCTCAAGTACACAACATTTTTACAGAGCGGGCCGAAGTGAAGAGGCTCGAAACCGTCGCACACATTTAGAATCAACAGCTCCCGGCCTCACTATTGTTTCTGCCACGATTAAATGACCACGGAGGCATTCCTGTGGTTTGGTGCCCCCCCCCGCTCTGTGGAAAGACAACTAATTGACTTAAGAGTCAGTTTTTCACCTCACGTGCTGATTTGGGAACAGCTTACCCTTAAATAATCCAACAACCGTATCCCGGGAGGTGGCAACAGAACCGACCACAGTTCAGCAACTGGGAGACGTCAGAGGGCGACAGGCGGCAGAAGGACTGCGGATTAAGGATCTCTCTGTCTCAGGCCAGACAGATCCAACCCCCCCCACACACACACACACACACTCTTCCCCTCACCTCAGCAACGGTTCAGGAAGCATCTTCTACATCTCTTCACTCCCCCCTTCGCCATCACCCACACCCAACTCAGGAAGCGAGGATATATAGGGAGATACAATGGCGGTCCCATTAATGTACTTCCTGCGATTGTTTCCCTGCGCCCAGGAGGACACAAACGGGGGGAGTGCAAGCTAGAGTCGAGGTTTCATGTAAACACAACAACTGTAGATATGCAAGAAGTGGACGCTGGAGAAAACAACATAATAAAGAACCTCCTGATGCATTGTTGTGATATGTAACTGTGTTGTCACGTGGCTCTGACAAAACAGAACAACGTGCAATCAGAGCCCCAGCACAAGTTCTCCCCACCCCTGGTACTCTACCATCGTTTCCTGCAGGAGTCTCTGGAAGTCGGCTCCGTATCCTCCATGCCAGTCGGCACCCGGGGACCCCGACTCAACTCCTCACCTCGCTGACCTGCTAACTCGCTCGGCAACGTGCCCCTGTCAAGCCGCACGGCCGTATTAATCCACTCCTCTCAATGTCTAGCCAGGTATAATCGAGGTTTTTAAGGGGCAGAAGGGGGGAGGGACACGGTTAAGGGAGGGTGAGGAAACCCAGTCAAGATATAAACCCGAGGCAGGAGGGGAAGAAGAAAAAAAAAAAAGGTCCATCCAGAAGCTTTCAGAAGTACAAAGCCCCCTAATCTTGCAGCCTAATTGGTGCCTGTGCTCTGTCAAAGCCATCTGACGGTCCTGCGGAGATTAAACAGCCCACTCCGAGCTCCGCCAGGGTCCTCTCCTCTTTTTCCTCTCTCCCCCCTTTCCTCTCTGTCCTCTGCCACCGGCGGCAGGCACACACCCGACCATAGACGGGTTTTAAATAGAAAGAGACTGAGGCGAGTGAGCGAGTGAGCTCCGAGGCAAAACAAAAATAAGAGGAAGGCTCTGTTTACTGTGGTGAACATGACATAATCTGCTCCGATAAGCACAGAGGGGGTTAACGGATGAATCCAGTTTATTACAACTTGGGCCTTATTTTCATGGTTTTGTCTATGATTTCTCACTGTTATCATAACACTGCACTTACTCCAGTAATTGCTGGGATCTGGGAACACGGTGACGCCACTGCAACACGATGCAACAGGGCAAGAAACACGAGCAGTTCAGACAAGTCTGGTGTTTTTATTACCGATGACCAAAACTATGTCAATGAATCTGAAATAGAGCAGAATTATCCTTTAACACCACTATCAATCAGGGTCACACGAAGACAGAGAGTTAACGCCAAAATGAATCACCAAACAGCAGAGACACGGTTTTCTTGTGATCCCAGTGGATCGGAGGTTGTGGATTATAAATGAAACTAGTTTTCTCGCTTCATCTCTGACGTTTTCTTAACGTACAAATACTTTAAACACTGATGCACCTCCTCATTTATGTTCTCATCATGTAAATATTTTTGTCTTATTGAGGCGCTCTGCCACCTGCAGCATCACGTGTGACTCTCTCTGAGGTTTCTACACATTTCCCTGTTAAAAAACAACAGAGGATGTTGCTCCTTGTTACGTCCTATGAGACAAATTTGTGAATGTGAACAATACATTGGACAAATCAAATCATTCCACCTGCTGGTGGCGCTACAGGAAACTTTAAGGGATCATCGAAGTTACTACAATTTAGCCTGACGAGGACATGAATGTCCAAGTTCATTCTAGGACAAAATGGTAGAATGCTGGGCAGAGGAACCAGCAGACATCCCCGTCCTCTGAGTCACATCAGTTACAGTAGATGAAAGTTTACACAAAGCTCTAGTGTAAAGGAAAAATGTGAAAGATAATTCTTTATGAATGTGATGCTCCAGAAGGAGTGAAGCATCTCTCCTCCGACCTCGACTCACAGACACGGCTTCACGGCAAAAGTGGAGAAATCTGCAACAACAGCACCGACTCCACTGAAGCCGCCGTCAACGCAACGCGTTCACATTTTCACGTAGCGGAGCTAAATATCCCATCGCACACAGGTGCTATGTTCTCCGGGAGGTGTGGAGACGGTCGGACGGGCCAGAGAAACACAAGCAAACCACATGCCATATTTAGACAATGGCCCAGATGGGCAGGCCTCCTCGCTATCGAGTTTGGGCGTTCACATTCCTGCTGCAAGTAAAGCAGCGGAAAATATCTGACGCTTGACCAAGAGAAACAAGTGCATCATGGGATGAAGGAAAGGTTCCGTGAGTGAACTCAAACAAAGCAAGAAGAAAACTACCTGGAGGAACGCACCTCGGAACATTCCTACCAATGAGAGAGAACGGCCGACACGACCAGGATTTCTTCATCAGGCCTTTTCTGAAATTTGTGATCAGTTTCCCCCCCCCCCCGAACACAACACGAGGCGAGGCAGTGTGAAGTGAAGCCGACCGGGAGAGACGGCGACGGTGCAGGACAGCTGACGGGAAGCCGAGCGTGCCAGTTTATGAATGTGTGCGGGACAACATGTGTCATGTGAGTGTGTGTCGAGTGTGTGTGTCCCCCCCCCACCCCACCCTGCCCGCATGCCTGCCCTCAGATCTGCCCGGATTAGTGCAGCAGAGGTTCAGGGGAGCATGAGTGTGACTGTAGATGAAACACTGCATGCATGGACACACACAGACACACACACACA